GGCCCCCAGGGGCCCTCACTTGGTCCCTCCCACCCGCAAAAAAACTCGATCGGCAACTGTGGCCAACCGCCCCTTCCCCCCACAAACCGCGGTGCTTGGTCCCACCCACACCCTCCCCCCACTCCAACTCGGTCCAACTCGGCTCCTCACCCAGAGACATATCAATTTTGTCGAGGTTTTCATTACTGCGGGGTTTCGGCGGCGGCAGCGACGGGATCGCCGTGGCTCCCACTAGCCGGGTACCAAACCGGTTCATGGCTGGAGGCGTCGCGCGGATTCAGTCAGTCGACAAGGCCAGAGACCGAGGCCTGCCACCTCCCACTTACGCTCACAGACCAGCTGCACCGAGTGAGCGCGCACGCGTGCTAGCGCCGTCCTCGCCTTCCACCCGCGGCTGCGCGCAGGGGGCGGGGCTACAGAGACCGGCGGCCGCCAAGAGTGCCGCCCCAAGCTGGTCCTCGCTGCCAGCGGCCCCTGCCGGACAGGAGAAAACATTGCACCCGCTGCTCTGGGCGCTGGCAAGGGCCGTCGTCTCAGCAGTTTGCCTTTCCGCCCAAATTGGGGAATGCTGGACCCTGAGCACCTCAGAATCACGTGCCTTAAATGAGATCATATTCCTCGGTGTCCTTTGAGTCCCTCCTGCGACAGAAAGGCCCCAAAGCTTTGGCACACATGAACCTTTCACACCCCACTGCAATGCAGCCTCGGAGGCTGGGCAGACCCCTGTGAACCCAGATTGCAGAATTCCGTCCCAGCTCCCCTTCCCCGCCCCCGGCCAGCTCCACCACCTGCAACAGGAGGAGTCGCCACGTCTGGACGCAAAGCGAAGTCTGCATTGACAAATTTCGCGTCGGTAGCGATAGAAGTAAATGCTAACGTCTCCCCTATCAGTACTGTATACCGTTTCTCAAACGGTACTCTGAAAACATTGAGCACGGTACTCGCGACTTAATATAAAGACTTCATCTTCCCTTGGGAGAGGGGTAAGTACCTCTGCTTATTTGGCTGCGTTTTTCTCTAATTCATTTGCGTTGGGAATTAATAGGAGGATTTGTTTTCTTTCTAATTATCCCTACAGGAAAATGTTATTTGTTGAATGTTTGCATAATATTTTTTTCTATTTACAAAAGGTGATATTCCCTCTCTTCTTTCCTCCTCCTCCTCCCCCTCCTCCTCCTCCTCCTCCTCCTTCAAATTAACTGCACTTGTGTGGAAGCATTTAGGTTATATCATCCTCATAACAGCTCAAAACTACCGAAAGCATTTGCATCTAAGGAAAAAATCGGGGGCAGGTATTCTGTCCCTGTAGAAATCTCTGCCACCTTCCTCCTTTTCACTTCCTGAAATTTCTTTTTGCATAGAAAAGAACCAGTGACCTAAACCATAGTAGTTAATTTGCCCCCCTCCAAAAATATAACCACAGAAAAAGAGTGTATCCAGTGAGGACACACCAATGAAGTAGTATAAGAAACTTTAAAGGTAGAGGAAGGTTTAGATTCAAAAAGAAACTTTAAAGGTAGAGGAAGGTTTAGATTCAAAAGGACCTAAGAACAACATTCTGAATGTCAAGGAGAATAATAGATATGCTCTTAGCACAATGTGCTTGATTTTATTTCTTTTCCAACAGCTAAGAACCAGAAAACTGAGTTATAGAGCTAAAAGTAGGAGGGAGACCTAGGTTTTATTGAGTTGTATTTTTTTCACTCACTTTAGTCATATAATCACTGTGTGAACTTGTAAGAGTGTTTGGGCCTCACACTCATCTTCAAAACAAGGAAGTAGTGGGTGTCCCCAAAAATGTATACACACACTGAATAATGATGAAGGCAGTGTTTATTAAAATAGACTTCATTTTCAAAATTGAACTATCAGCTGTTAAAGTATGTATACATTTTTTGGGACACCCTGCATATGTTATACTTAATTATTAGTAAGATTCCTTACAATTGTAAAATCTAAGCACAAGACATTTTTCTCCACACTATCCTTCTCTCACTAGAAATAACTGATACAGTCTCTGCTTATTTGTGTTTACAGGGAGGAATCTTAGATTAAGTTCTTAATTTTATGGAAGAAAATTAATGCATTTAGAGTTTGGATGAATTTTTGTACTTCATATATTTATAAAATAGATAATAAAACTCCCAAAATGTATATAAATCCTTCCCACCACCAGTATATAAAAGTTTCCTTTTATTCTGGCCTTCTCCCCCAAACTGAGCTCCATCCCAAATCTCCTTATCTCTGAAAAGAACACGCCCCAATATTTCATGAACAAACCTAGCTATTGTGTTTCAGACTTTCAGATTTTTCCAAGGGCCAAGGGTTTCAGAGTCTCAGAGTAATCACCCAGATTCCCTAGGGAAAAACAAGAAAAAAAAGAGAGACATTCAAGGTCAGTCACAAAATAGCAACCTGAGACACATACAGCAATAGTAAAGAGGGAGTCAAGCCAAGAAATCAGGACTGGTGCTAGTCCCAGAAGTTCATCAGCCAGCTTCAAGGGTTGGAGTACAAGGTCAACTCTGCCATTTCCTGGAGTATGAGAGGCAACTATTCATTCAATGATCTATTCATTGAGCACCAGGCATTGTAATGGGCCCTGGGGATAAAATGGTGAGCAAGGTGGATGCAGACCCTATCTTCACACAGCTTGCAGAGCAAATATAATACTGAGCACCTACTGTGAATGAGGCATTGTGCTGGACACTAAACATTCATCCTTTGTGTAGAGTACAGCAGTTTGGCAGCTTCACGCAAGTAAAAATAAACAGAAGTCAAGCAGCTGCCCTCTTCAGAGGTTTGAGTTTGTCCACTACAGATAAGACAATATCTAGGATTGCCAGATAAAATTCAAGACCAGTTAAATTTAAATTTCAGATAAACAATGAACCATTATTTAGTAATATAAGATTGTTCCAGATTTCAGATAAACATCTTTTTTTTTTTTTACTATGTTGCATGTAATATTTAGGATAATTTATACTAAATGATTATTCATTGTTTATCTGAAATTCAACTTTGACTGGGAGTGATATATTTTTATATGCTAAATCTGGGAACCTTAACGTTATACTTTTTGATTAATATGTTCTGGATTTCTTTTCACAAGAAATCTACATGATCTTCAAAGGTAAGCACAAGTCTTACGTCTGTAACCCTTAACTATTTTTATTAGTTTGATATGTCTTTTAAACTCCCCTTTTTTTCCAGCTTTGTTGAGTTATAATTAATGGACAATAAAATACATTTTTAAAGTGTGCAGTTTATACAGATGTACAGTGTACATACTTGTGAAAACACTGCCATAATCAGCATAATATAAAAATCCATCATCCCCAAAAGTTTTCTAGTGCTTCTTTGAAATCTTTAGCCCCAATCACTACCTAAGCAACCACTGATATATTTTCTGTCACTATAGATTAATTTGAATTTTCTAGAATTTTCTCTTTGTTTGTTTGTTTTTCCCATTGATTTCTAGAAAAAGTGGAAAAGAGTTAGGAGGGGGAGAGAGAGACAGAAACATGGACATGAGAGAGACACATCAATTGGTTGCATCCCACACACACACCCCCCGGGCCAGGGGAACCTGCAACTAAGGTATATGCCCTTGACAGAGAATTAATCCCACAACCCTTCTGTCCGCAGGCCGACGCTTTAACCAAGCAAAACAGGCCAGGGCCTCTTTTTTTAAAAAATATATTTTTATTAATTTCAGAGAGGAAGGGGGTGGGGAGATAGAAACATCAACGATGAGAGAGGATCACTGATCATGCCCCCTACTGGGGATCGAGCCAGAAACCCAGGCATGTGCCCTTGACCAGAATTGAACCCAGGACCCTTCAGTCCGCAGGCTGATGCTCCATCCACAGGGCCAAACCAGCCAGGGCCAGGGCTTCTTGATAGATAGATAGATAGATAGATAGATAGATAGATAGATAGATAGATAGATGATAGAGATTTGTTGTTCCACTCATTTATGCAGTCATTGGTTGCTTCTTGTATGTGCCCTGACTGGAGATTGAACCTGCAACCTTGGCACATCAGAATGACACTCTAACCCAGTGGTCGGCAAACTCATTAGTCAACAGAGCCAAATACCAACAGTACAAAGATTGAAATTTCTTTTGAGAGCCAAATTTTTTAAACTTAAACTATATAGGTAGGTGCATTGTGATTAGCTTCATTAGGCGACTCCTAAGCTGGCCTTTGTGAAAAACGTCCTCAATCTGATTGAGGTACGTTTGCTGAGGTCGACCCCTTCCAACTTTCCCATCCACACTCGTCTTGTGTACTTGTTTCGTCTATCTCCTTTCTCAATCCCCGACAGTACATCTTCTTTCACTCCACAACGTTCCCTGTACTTGCGCACCCACACGTGGTATTTTGTGGAAGAGCCACACTCAAGGGGCCAAAGAGCCGCATGTGGCTCACGTGCCGCGGTTTGCTGACCACTGCTCTAACCAAATGAGTCACCTGGCCAGGGCCTATACTCTTTTTTATCTGGGTTATTTCACTCAGCATAATTGTTTCAATCTTTATGCCTTGTATTCTTTTTCTTGCCTTATTGCACTGACTGGGGATTCTAGTACCATGTTTAACAGGAATGATGAAAGTGGACATTATTTAACTGGGAGTCTTACATTTTTATTAGCTTAATTTTTATTTGTCTCATTCCCAATCCCAGAGGGAAAGCATTCAGTCTTTCGCCAATATGTATGATGTTAGATTTTTTGTAGATGCCCTTTAACAGGTTCAAGAGATTTCTTTTCTACTCCTGGTTTGCTGACAATTGTAATCATGAGTGAACGTTGAATTTTATCTAATGCTCTTTCTGCATCTAGTGAGATGACCAAATGGGTTTTCTTTTTAAATTTATAAATATGGTGAATTACATTGACTGATTTTTTAAATGTTGTATCACTTTGCATTTCTATGATAAAACTACTTACTCATGGTATGTTATCCTTTTTTTAAAAAAATATATTTTATTGAGTTTTTACAGAGAGGAAGGAAAAGGGATAGAGAGTCAGAAACATCGATGAGAGAGAAACATCGATCAGCTGCCTCCTGCACATCTCCCACCGGGGATGTGCCCGCAACCCAGGTACATGCCCTTGACCGGAATCGAACCTGTGACCCTTTAGTCCGCAGGCCGACGCTCTATCCACTGAGCCAAACCGGTTTTGGCATGTTATCCTTTTTATATATTGTTGGATTTCATTTGCTAGTATTTTGTCAAGGATATTGTTTCTTTTTTATTGTTTCTTTTTTATTGGTGTGTAATTTCTTCTTCTTGTAATGTCTTTGTCTGATTTTTGTATCAACTTCTTTGTATTTCAGAAGAGGATTTTTGGTCCTAGCCAGTTTGGCTGAGTGGATAGAGCATTGGCCTGAAGACCTAAG